TCTTTCTAGCGCCCGTTGCGCACGTAGACACAAACACACACAAACGCGTGCACACACACAAACACACACGCCTGCACACACACACGCGCGCGCTACAACACTCAAGCGCGCACGCGATTACTCGAACACAAGCATAATATTTATTCATCACATTTCCTAACAAGACCACCGCATTCCGTTCTTTAGTAGAGGGGGAGAATGAAGTTTAAGATCATGGTACGCACGAGAGCTCCTGGGCTGCTGAGATAATGGAAGGCGCTGAATGATCGCTGGGAGATTCGGGGCCCGATCGATGAGAGTGATTCATTTCCTTCTGATTTCCAGTGCAGTGTGCTAGCTTAGTCTTAATCTTCAGTCGTCCAGTAAACTGCATGTCGTATTAGGTTGAAGTCAACCTTCCTCTCTTTGTATTGTATGATGTTTGTTTCATATATTCATAATGTAGAAATAAGAATACTATATTTGGTCGGCGAGCTCTTGGTATTTGGGAATATCTATTATTACTCTCAATACGGTAGCCTATGCACTGACATGCCCTTGACGACTCTACTGTATTGACAATTCGTTGTTTGCTTGTTGAAAAGAAAGAAGGATAGATCACAAACACAGACAGATGGACGGATGAACAAACAGATGCATATAACTGGAAAATGAGAAAGCTGCCAAGCCAGATAGCTGTGTAGCAAGCTTGCTCTTTGTGGCTAAGACAGATAGATACTAGATGAATAGAATCTCGATTTTGTGATGCAGACACTCCCGAAAGCAGTAACGGGACAGGGGAAACAACCAAAATAAAATACTGAAACTATCATGGGTTATATACTCATGAATGCTTGCCATTCTAAAAATAAGATGGATATACATTGTTTAGGTTTGAATGTAACATCACCTCTCTCCTATTCTCTCTCTCGGTCTCTATGACAATACATAATACACGTACATAGATTACATTTAAATATTTGCAATGGCGCCCACCTGTCCAAACAAACACTTTCCACTTACCCCTTGTCCGAAATGATAACCTGGCCAACACGGTTCGGTTTTATTTTTTTATTTTTAAAGTAGGTGTTTTTTTACGCCCCCATCGAGGCAATTTAGATAATTTATTGTGGTGATAATTTGTCAGGGCCAACCCGGGCTGAGAGGGATACAAGAACGTCCCAGCAGAAAGACTGGATATATACTCAATACTCTAGGAAAATTTTTTTTCTCCACTCTAGTAGCGAACTCGGGTCTCCTGAGTGCAACAGTGAAGCCTCTAACCGCTACACCACAGACGCTGGTAACGCGGCTATGATTGTTATTTCACAATCATCCCAAAAATATGTATGGGAAGACCATGCATTTCTCTCATGGCCCTTGTGGCCACAAATTATGTATAGGCTCCCAGTGCTGTGGACGAGCCATCGTAATCCATTCACCTGTTGTAATTGTTAGCCCCTCCTACAAATGAACTGCTTGTGGATCAGCACATTTTGTTGGTCAGGAATTAGTACATGTACCTTCCACTGTGCATCCAAGTTGATGTTTGTTTTGTTTGAGATGAGAGAAGCACATTGACCCAATAATGATCATTTAGTGCTAGGAAAAAGAAAGACAGACAGACAGAAACAACAGAGGGAAAGTATAGAAGTAGGACCTGTCAATGGCGCCGTCCAACCACCTGCCACCCAAGTTGACTAGTCGTAAACAAATTCAGCTGCTGATGTGTGAGGCATGTGAACCGCCATAATCCTAAAGCCTCTCCCACACCTGTACCATCTGCTGACCATACACGAATCAAAGGTGAGATTGGTGGCCGTTTCGTTTACCCAGTCAGTAATCATGGATGGGACGACAAAATAAATTTGTGACATAGGCGTTGTTCGTTTGCTGAGAGGAATGGCGGTGGTCTATTTGTTTGTATACTTCTTGTATGTGCCGAAATAAAGAAACTATTTATTACTATACTGAATCAAGATTTAAACTAAAATATTTTTGTTTGGTCGCTGGCCTACAGGAGCGCCATGCAAAGTTACGTGCCCATTGGTAAATTAATGAGTTGACCACAACATCATGTTTCTAAGCTGCCTGCTTAAGCTTCATGAAAACTGTCCAACTCACTGGTCTTTAAATCAAATAATTTTAATGACCATTTTGTTGCACATCATCCAGTCCTTACACAGTCATTCTAGACTCTACGACACATCATCCAATTCTACACAGACATTCTAGATTACGTTACACATCATCCAGTCCTTACACAGACATTCTAGATTACGTGACACATCATCCAGTCCTTACACAGACATTCTACATTACGTGACACATCATCCAGTCCTTACAGAGACATAATAGACTACATGACACATCATCCGGTCCTTACACAAACATATTCGGTTCTTACACAGACATTCTAGACTATATGATACACTATTCAGACCTCATAAAGACATTTCATTACAAGACACATCATCCAGTCCTTACACAGACATGTCACTATGTCGCACGTCATCCAATTCTTACACAGACAGTCTAGACTACTTTGCACATCATCATACTCACAGAAGAGTGATTAAAGACTGCAACACTCATTGACCAAAAAACCCACAAACAATAACCAAATAAAACATGTCATCAATGCCACTTAGTTAACAATATGTTTGTCACTCTGTTTTTTTGTCTGTACAAAATCCAGCCAAGTTGCCTTTCTTTTTCTCAAATCAACTGAAGTCCCCCCCAAAAATATATTTGCATAACTGGAGTCAAAAGTACCCCCCCTCCCCCCAAGTATTTATAATGAGTGCAACAACTTTCACAACATAATTTACATAGAGGGGTGAAAATAACATAAAAGCAACAGGAATGACCACCACTTTGCACAAATAAATACTTCCAAAGTAGCAGTATTTAAATAATGCACTGAGTGAACTACTGTTTCAACGCGAAACATTGCCATTTTCGACTTGCTGAGCACATTTATTTACAACATAATCCAGTGTATAAAAATAAAAGAACATTATTACACTGGTTGTACACGGGATCAACTCAGGAATAGAATTAAGCTCCTGTCCTAAACACCGAGAACCCAACATGAAAAGTGCTCAGACACAAAGCAAAAATGTATACATATTTATGTACACTGACGCAAAACTATGCTTGGAAATTATTTTACTTGGCCAAAATTCTTTATAGCTAATGTTTTTCACAATTTCTACAGCACAATACACAATCTTCCATTTGCACACCTGAACCATTTAAGCTATTTTTTTTAATCGATATCAACTTTAACATTCAATATGGACAATTTAGACTTCTTGACTCTCTTTCTCTCTATAGGTTTCCTTTCCTCAATCTTTCTCTTCTTGGATTCCTTTTTCTTGAGGTGATGTCTGATCTTTTTTCTTGCTGCAATGTCAGGATCAGTGACAGCCTGAAAAATCAATGAATTCACAATTATAAAGAATACATATTGAGGCATCAGGATAAAATCAGCTGATCATCAAAATAATCGAAGAAACTGACATTTGTACACTCATTGGGCAATTTTTATCGAATGTTGATCAAAGGCACAGAAATTTGCAGGCTTCAAAGACTTTCAAACTATGGAAGTTACCAAACTTTGGCAGCCATTTTCTCGCTAAGCTCTCCTCTGAGACCAGGTGACTCCCTCTTCTTTTAGTTGCAAATATCTCTGCTTCTATTCAAGATACATTGGTATTTGTTCCTTCTCAGGAAAAACAAATGAACAAGCTTTAAGATAATCAACTCCATATTATTATATTCAACAATTGACAAGCAATCGATTCCACTGTGCTGTGACACATATTAAGCAACACTCCACTTGTCTTTTAATCAAATAATTCTGAGCATGTTTTTACAATGGCAAAATGGAGTTGTTGGGGCTGTAAAACATTTGCAATCATTAATGAATCTGTTCAGAATATGGAGCATAATCCTGTTCATACAAAGGTCCAATCTGATTTGAGAGAACGGTCTTCAAACATGTGAAAACTCTGCAAATCCTTCAACTCGACTAACATGATCCAGATTGAGCAAAAAGAAGCATATCAGCACAATAATGGTGGCCATTTAACGCTAGGAACAAGCTAGACAAACAGACAGAAACAATGCATATATATAAATATATATGCAGAGAAGTGAAGTTGGACATACAAGTTTCATCCCCCAACATCCTGCCAGGCAGGGCTGGTTACTTCTCTCTGTGGTAAAGTAACAACATTCAACTTCAGTGCCACTTTACAGGAGCATATTAGTCAGCCAATACCTTCAAGTTTACAATCTCAGTTCCAAACCCCACACAAGATAATGAACTAAAAAAAATCCAGTCTCATAAAGCAGTTTGACTGTTTGTTGGACAATGACAAAGGTTGTGATGCCTTCCAACCACCCACTAACATAATCCCAGCAATAGGAAAAAGACATACCTCGGCCGCGACCTGCCTCTTTCTGATGTCTCTCTTCTCCGCCCTCCACTTGTGAGATGTGGCAAACGCTGAAGTGAAAGCCTCCACACCAACTTGCTTCTTCAAAAGGTCAAGGACTTCTTGCACTAAATTCTTGAGTTCTTCATCTGAGACAAAAAAATTCCCAAATAACTCAAAACATAATAAATGAAAACAAAAGATGAAAGGATCAGCATAAGAAAAACTTAGGCGTTGTAGTAGTCGGATCAAAGAATCAATCCTACAAACCTTTGAATACATAACATCAATACGGAAAAGTTGCTCAAGAGGCCACAGTCTCCTCTTTAAACGTCCATCTTCCAAGAACCAAGTCATGTAGATGACGAGGCTTAAAAACTCCCTAAACAACCAATACTCAACAATGACTAATTGAGGGTTCAAGCCTGGGGTCATCCCCACCATAGTCCAGAATCAGACAAATTGAGCTAATGGTCCTCCTTCACAATCCTCGAAAACTAAAATTACTATAGGAATAAAGAGAGAGAAAAATTGCAGAGAGCGCTGTTATTGTAGAACATAATTTTAAGCTCCCACCAATAAAATACAAATCACTCAAGGGTAGGGGAAAGGGCGGGCATACCTTGAAAGTTAACGAGAAAACTTCAAAGTTACGAGGAAAAATAAACCCTACAGCCATAATCTAAAGTAACAGAAAAGAACATTAAATCTTTGTGCAGAGAGCATCATCATGAGAAAAACAGACATTTTAGGGAGTGTTATGGTTCAAGTATAATACTGCAGTGAAGAAAAACTGCATTGTACGAAAACATTTTTAAAAAGCCAACCCAATTCGAAAACTGTGAGGTGACATCCTCCCCACAAAAGGACCAATCAGAGATGTACAAATGTAAATGAGCACGAACATCCCAACAAGAGGTTATTTTTCAGGATGTTACGCTGTGACATTACAGATTTCTCACAAAACTGTTTTGCTAGTCCTAGTAAATGTTCAAAATAGATAATTATTTACTACCACTACTAATCATAATGGAAAGAAAAGCAATAATAAGAATGATCACTCATAAAGTGTCCATCCCAGAGCAGCTTTTGCCTCCACTATCACACTCTGTAAATGGTACAGACATGGTATACGTGTCACGAAGCGGTGGAATCAGGCGCTTGTTAATTTTTGGGCACATGGAGTTATTGATTTCAGCTAAAAGCTTGTTCATTAGTCTTGTTTTCCGTGAAAAAAAATCCCCATCTATCTTGAACATAAGTCGACATATTTGTAATTGAAGGAGGCGGGGGTCGCCTGGTTTGAGAGGTAAAATAAGCCAGAAAATGGTGACAAAGTTTGGTGGCTTCCAAACCTTGAGAGTCATAGAAAACTGTAAATTTACTTTTGTGGGGACTTTAAGCAACGTTTTCCTGTAAAATCCTCACAGAAATGCGTTTTTTACACGTAAATAAAAGGCATTGAACCCCCCAATTTGATAAAAATTGCAGAACAGGCAGAAAAATGCCAGTTTCTTTGATTTCATTATTTTGTCAAGCGCCTGATTTCACAATAACGCCCTACATATATTCATACAAACATACAATGGAACTCAGATTCAACGAGAACTCGGATTCAACGAGATGAGATAGATTTCCCTTTAAACAGCGCCCCCGCAGACATGGCTTTGCTCATTTTTCTCCCAGAACAAACTTAATCTATTTTGGGAAACCATCCATTGCACCTGCATCGTGAACCATTATTCACTTAGCCGATTACATGCGACCAATCAGCCGCCTTTTTTCATACTAACTCACACGTTGTAGGCACGCGCACATGTCTACTCTGGCGTGTGTCGGGGGCGGATGGGCAGCCTGCACACGTGTGACTGTGTACGTGTAGGGGAGGGGGGCGCACTAGCGGTCTGGGCGTTGAATGTCGCAGATACAAACGCGTCACAGTCTTTTTTCCCCTCGGCAACAGATCATTGTATTACAATAATAAGCTAATCTTGACGTAGATCTATGTAATGAATTGTGCTCTGGTCTATGGAATCAAAAGTTGCCGTATGCTAGGCTCTACACAGCAACACAACTTTTTGGTAAACAATCGAGATGACACAGGCATGTGCATTTGAAAGAATTGGTCTTTTTTTACACAGCTCATAATAATAATATGCAGGCATTTCAGGCACTACTTGCCACTTCAATTTATACATTACTTGCTCAGTGCCTGTAATTATCTACATAAAACCTTGTGTTTGCTATAACGAACACTCGGATTCAACGAGATTTCAGGTCAGGCCCGGCGACCTCGTTGAATCCGAGTTCCACTGTATTTATAGATCACACTCAAAATTCTCTCTAACTCCTGTTGTATTTTACAATTTTTCTCCCACCTCTCCCCCTCCTAACAGAAGTACATTTGCTTAACTCTTTTTGTCTGGGCTACGAGTATACTCGGAACAGCTATACGGTCACGTCAAAGAAGCTAGTTCTGCTTGTAATTACCAAAATACGCAAATACGGCGATGCTAGCTCTGTCTGAATATTTTAATTTTCCAGTGAACAGTATTGAACAGTGGTTACTTTGTTTTTGATGGGTGTAGAAGCTTGAAAGATGTTTTGAAAACGCATATTCACAACCGATGAAGTACTTTTTGAAGTGGCGCTGGGTTGTGAGGGGGAATGATACTAATTTGATGAAAGTGACTCTGAAATAAGTGCCGTAAATTCCGTTGTGGATGATTAGAAACAAGACTTAGACTCATCTAATAGCGATTCAGATCATGGTGAAGGGGTTAGTACTGGAATTCGTGCTCGATTTGTAGGTCTAGATCTAGATCTATAAAAGCCAATGGGTCGTCGTTGGGCGCGCCAATCAGGGTCAAGTTCGAGGGTGGAATAAACCTCAAAATCTACATTGTGCTATTGGTGTATTTCCTAACCACATACATTTACAAAAACTACATTCAATTTCTAACATAACTGCCAAATTTCCTTAAAACCTTAGAGTAAATGTAAGAAATATAGCACTTTGAACTATACGCACTGACTTCCGACTCATACGGCGCGGCGGCCCCAGGACTGGTACAGAGTCCGTGGGGGTACGGCTGGGATAAAAAGAGTTAAAAAGTAAACAGCTTTGGCAAAAAGTTAAATTTAAAAAAACCCAAAAAACAAACAACCCAAAACAGATGAGTTTTAGTAATGTACCTTTGGCATTCTCTGACATTTCTCGCTGTAACGCTGGGAGTGCAATGGGCAGGAGGCTCTGGACAGACTCGGGGGTCAAGGTCACTCCCACTGCAGCCACCCACTTGAACACATAGTTCCTCTATATAGATAAACAACAAACATAGTTATGACTCATGGTGACAGGTTTACAGATTGTGTTTGTTTGTTTGTGCGAGTACATGGAAGCACATTAACATGATAATGGTCATTTATTTATATGGAGAAAAAAAATATGACCGAAACAGAGGGAAAGTGAAAAAGGAGGATCTACCGGTGCCTCCTTCCAACCATCTGCAGAGATGAAGCGACTTGTTTAAAGTTGAAAAGCTGGGGCTTGTATTACATGATTAAATACAGATACATCTAATCCCTTCAGATTTCGTAGTCTTTCAAAGCATTCTCAAGTAAAATAATGTCACAGGCCAGTTTTAACAAACTCTTGTGTACACTCACTGTATAATGAGAATCGTCTTCAACCATTATCTCAGTAAATGTACCCCCCCCCCATATTATGAAACAAGAATCTGACAGACAAGAAGACAAACAAAACAAGACCGAGCCCCAAGTAAACACTCATATGATTTAGAATCAACTTTAAAAATAATTACCTGTCCTTAGCATATATATAAAGAAAAGCACACACAAACATGGAGTTTCTGTACTAGCCAGGAAAGGTACACTAAAGAATTTCCTTCAATTATAATAAAAAGAAAAAAAAGGATACCCATAAATCAACGCATCGTAAAAAAATATCTCAGTATAGACAGTTTACCTTTACTGTGACCTTCACATTGTGAATGACCTCATGGTTAGCTTCCCTCACAATTTTCTTCGCTAGCCACACCAGTTCAGCGGGTGTTGCTAATGCTTCTGCTAGTCGACCTAGATACAGCAGATTTTTCACAACCTGAAATGCCACACACAAAAAAACAATGGTTTTTTTTAGAACTTCAGAAAGTAAAAAACAGTGAACGGTTCCCCCAAAAAACAAACCACACAAGCAAATTAGATCTGACAACGTGATGATAAATGTTTTACACCTTGATCAACACAATTTAGACCATTTTTGGGGCAGGCTGCTTTGACACTTCCTGCCAGGACAAAACCAGATTGAGTGAGATATGAAAAAGAATGATTTCTTGACACAGGGATCAAAATCATGTCTTTTAGATAAGACAAGACCACAGATGTTAGATAATAAAGAAGGAGCAAATCATATCTGAGCACCTGCCAACCAACCGCATGACAAAATACCAGTACAAGACTTTTGATAACATTTCAATTCAAGTCAGGAGAGGCACATCAAAATCAGATTTGCCTACCCCAGGACTAAAGCAAAAAATCTTTATGTGAAAAAAGTCTTCTTTCTTGTGCAAACTTGCCTCAATGCTGTGGTCAGTCAGACGTCTTAGACAATTTCAACTGAACTTGTTCCGCAAGGATACTGTATCCCATTCAGCCTGTCTGGGTTGATTCAGCTCTAATTTATAGAACAAATTTTACAGCCGTACTAATACCTTTTATAAACGTAGGTTGAGACAAAGAACTCTTTTCCCGATTCATCATAATTAACAGCTCAGTTTAATAAAAATTACACTGAACAATCAATATGATGAATAGGGAAAAGAGTTTTTGTCTCACCCCGCTCACACGCATTTTCTGCCCTGGCCATGCAGGCGTTAAGGGAAATGAAAAAGGTGACAGACTGGCTGGTGAGGCCACCTCAGTTGACAACCAGATAGGGTCGAGATCCTAAAATGTCTCTCTCGCCAGCTGATTGAGGAGGAAGATAGAGAGGCAGAGGCCAGTACAGTTATGGAGAGCATGGTGCTTTTGGGAACACAAAAAGGAAGCGGAAAATCTGGCATCCTTGCAGGAAAGAACAGAAGAACGTTCAACCAGACATGCACCTGTACAATCAGTGGAAAGACCCTCGGTGACATTTGGGAGAGAGCAACGGAGCATCAATGGACATGTCCGGAATGCAGGGAAGTTGCTTCCTGAAACAATGAACCCCGCGTTTATGAAACGTATTGGTACTGTTGTGAAATTTGTTCTATAATTTGCTCAGGGGAAGACTCCGTCGTACGTCACTTTTTCAAAATAGCAGTCTTACACAAAGCAGTCGATATCTATGGGAGATGATAGAAATTATTTCTACCTACCTGAGTGGCCAGGGCGTCGTCTAGACTGGGAGCCTGTAACTGCTGGCAGAAAACCTTGCCAAACACACGCACCTGAAAATTTGAAAAGGGAAAACCCATTAAGAAAAGTGAAAAGACAGGAAGTTTTAGGCAGTATGTCGCCTGTGCTCAACTCTTTAACAATTTTGATAGAAACTATTTTCTATTATAGTAACACTCTATTTATTGCACCAGAGTGGGAGAAGGTAAGGGGAGAGAGAGAGGAAGAGAGGGAGGGAGGGAGGGGGAGAGAGAGAGGAAGAGAGGGAGGGAGGGAGGGAGGGAGGGAGGGAGAGAGAGAGAGAGAGAGAGAGAGAGAGAGAGAGAGAGAGAGAGAGAGAGAGAGAGAGAGAGAGAGAGAGGGGGGGGTGAATAGCATCTGGATAATAATAGCAAAATTGACATGAAATGGAAGCAACAGGCAAAAACCAGATCCCTAACTAGAAACGAGCTGAGTATGAGAGAATTCTGAGGACACCCCCCAAACACTACACACACACCACCATCACCAAAAAACAAAACACCGTGGTGGTCTCACCAGAGATGAACAGTTCTTGGGGAAATAGGAATCTCTCAGTTCGTCCGTCTCTTGACCGCTACCTACTTCGGCGGACTGACCAGCCTGGGACAGGAGCTGAGTCACCTCTGATGGCTCCCAGGAGCTGAAGAACAGACCCGTCAGCTGACAGGCAGCCAGCCTCACTTGGGCATGTGGGTACAGCTGATGGGACAGCACATGACCTAAACAAAATTGAAAAAAAAAATCCCCTAAAATATAAGCAAATATTAACAACAACAGCAATATATTGAAAAATAATGTTTTAGTTTAGTTTTAGTAGATAGGAAAGAAGGAGCAAACCACATCAGAGCACCTGCCAACCACCGACAGAAAAATAATGACAACAGACACAGCAAACAAACCTAAAAAAGGCCTTTTTAAAGGGGGACATATGAAAGAGTAATCAATTTAAAGATTAAAGAAACATTTCCCCATTATAAAATCATAATGAAACATGTGTTAGTGTTCACTTTACATTTTTAAAAATAGTACATTTTCGAGTATTTGGCTTTCTTTGGTCAGTCCTTTCTCAAACGCTGCCTTGGTCATTGAAACTGATTTTGCTTACCTTCTGTAACTTCTAGTTGGTTTATCTCTTTTTCTTCTTCCAGTTAGTCTCCAATACCATGTCTGATGACAAAAGCTTACACAAATCAAAGCTTACCCCACATAAGATCCAAGTCCCCCACCAGCTTGGGGTTACGAGCCACGTTGAGCTCCCTGGCAACCTTGATGGTAACATTGAGCACGGCTAAGAGACACATGTCCTGCTGCTCGGTGACAGCGTCCTCTTCTTCCTCTTCCTCTCCCTCCTGGAACACACAGCAAAATGAGGGTTACACTTTGATGTGATTGAAGTCTTTAAGATAAGACATTTAATGCAAGATTCAAGAGAAATTTATCATCCACTGTAGTACCATGCGGTGTTTTTATACTTAAGTGAACAAACTTTTCACGAGGTGTGGTTTCTTTAGTGGGATGTTTATATACCGCCAAGCACAAATGTGTGGTAACAGAGGGAAAAAAACAACTTGAGCATAGGTAGCCACATCACATTGATCGTATGGCTGCACTGCTGTCTTTAACAAATCTGGAAGTCGCTATCTTGTTCAGATCAAAAGTGAAGATGTTCTATGTGACTTCATGGTGATATCACCACTGTTTGTTTCTGGTATGTTTTCAACCCAATTACCTTAGTAAACCTCCCTGGGTCCATTAGCTGCTGCAGCAAAGGGACAGTCTCCTCCAGACGGTTCTCGAACTTGCCACCCTCCACCTCCACAAACAAACCACACACCTGGCAGCCCATTGTCCGCACACGAATCTGGGAACAGATAATATTTTATGAGACAAGGCAACAGTGAGCTTAACCCTAGCTTAATCAATGGGAATGTCTGGGCATTTCACAAGAATTTTATACAGAAATGCTCCAACTCATTAACGGCATCGTCATACCAACATTGTACTACCAAGCCCAGACATGGACAATAAACAAGAGTCACCTAAAGAAAGTCAACGCCTGTGAAATGAGATGCCTAAGAAACACTTTGAGCATCCCAAGAAGAGACGGTGAGAAATTAGATTCTCAGAGAACGAGTCGGCTCAACTCACTGCTTGCAATACATAGATAAACAATGAATGAACTGGTTTGGGCACCTGCCAAGACTACAACAAGACAGTTCAGCAGGGAGAGCATACAACCAGAGAGTAGATAGATGGACCAGAGAAACATTAGTCAAGAAGAACATAACCATGCAACAGGCGATACAAACAAGAGAAAGAAGTTTGCTTTTCCGTTCTACACTGCAATATAATAGAGGGCGGAAAAAGCAAGCAAAAAGTAAGTAAGTTCACTCAGCTCTGTATTCGACCATCCTCAGAAATTTGCAGTATCTTGGTAATTTTCAGCCTCTCAGGAATTTCGATATTAAGAATAATGTTGCTCTTTGCCTGCAATTACCTCTGTTCCCGTAATTTTTTCCAGTTGGGGTAAGATATTCAAGACCATTACAACTGCATTAACGCCCCCCCCCCATATACACAAATAAGCGTCTACCTCTTTGTTATTGTTCTTACTGGGCATCTCTGTAAATTTGCTTCACAAAGCAAAATCTCACTATTTTCTTCTCCTCCCTTGAAACTCTCAGTATTTATCTTATAAAAACATTTTTCTTGCTTTCAATTTTCTCTTTTAGACCTGCATGTGAACCTCAACCAGATTGTCTGAAAATTCCCCCCCCCCCCCACCATAAATAGCTTTTGTAGGTGTCATAAAAGGAAGGGCTTCCGCGTAACGAGCGACCACCCCAACAAACACAATAAAGAAGAGACCTAACCCTAACCCTACCCCGAAAAAGAACCTGCAACGGCCCTCATGTAAAAAGGCCAGAAGTCCAAAATGAAAAGAGAAAAAAAAAACCACACTACAAAACAAACATGGATTAGATCTAGAATCTAGAATCTATCTATCTAATATATGATGGCCTTTGCTATAAATAAATATAGGGTTTGATACAATAACACAATAGAATTGGAATATGAATCCTCCATATAGATCTAGTAATCTAAATAAATCTAGATTCTAGATCTAGAGTGTATGTAGAACAAGTGAATAGAAATATAATAGGCCTTGAACGAGAAATCCGCATCCGATTCTGAACAGAGGGACTCAGCCTAGTCTAGATTTCTATAAATAAATAATTCACGCACCTGATGAAATGCTTTTTACCAACATTAATATTACAGCAAAACCTATGATAGGGTTTGACACAATAGAATTGGAATATGAATCCTCCATTGAGGTATATAATGATGATGTATAAATCTAGATCTAGATCTAGAAGAACTTGCAAGTGAGTCGGACTTGAATGAATCCACATGATCTTAACAATCAGTCAACAAACAAAATTCAAAATGGCCGCTTGAGCCCGAAACTGAAAGTAGATAATTTAGCTTGTCGTCCTTTTTCGAATTCGTATTTCTACTCAGGTTCCGACAATTATGTCGGAAACGCCTGCGTCGGCACGATAACGAAAGTGCCGACAAAGCCGACGGGAGAAAAAGGGGGCGCTGGCAGTCGGCCAGGTCTCGCACTTTGCACTTTGACTAATACAGGTGGGCCTAGTGCTAGCATCGGCTGGCTTGCGGGTCGGGTCGCGATTGTTGGATTTCAAACGATTGTCGGCAAACATGCAGGTCTACTCTTTGTCTCTTTAGTTTATAATCGGAATAAAGAGGGCAGGGAGGAAACATACAAAGAGACCAATTCTGTCTACAAACTGCTCCAGAAATACAGGTGCCATATAGCAGAAACTACTTACATCATCTGACTTCATCCATTTTAAAACATCTAGGTACAGGGACTTTCGACACCTGAAATCAATCTGTGGATACAAAATAATTACATGTGAGTCATATATATGCAACAGGTGTTTCAAAGGACTTTCAGTACAAACAAGAAATACACAAACAACTGTTAAGAGACAGAAAAAAATCCTCTAAAACCCACTAAAGAGACATCTAATTGGATCTAAAGGACATACAAATTGACAAAACAGACGTTAAAAACACTATAATTATGTCTGACATCACTAAAAACATCTCAAAGGACAGCAAATACAGCCGAAAAGACAACTAATATGACTATAAAGGCTTTAAAACAAACTAATAAGACATCTGAAATAAAAAAAACACCTCCCCTCCCATCTAATACTACTAGAAAAAATAACAGACTAAAAACCCACTGAAACACAGATCTAAAAATGACAGAACAAAAAAGACATCTGCAAACGTTAAAAAAAAAAGATACTACAATGACAAAATAAGAAATCGAAAAACCACCAATAAGACATATGGTATGGAATTTTTTAAAACAAAAATTGTAGAAAAAGTAGGTGCTGCTTCAGGCAAAGGCAGACAGTCTGACCTTCCCAATGAGTGTCCTGAGGGCCACAGACACCAATTTCCTACAGCGTAGAGAGCTGTCGTTGTACGACGTCATCGACAGATTGGTGAAGAACCTGGGGCAGTGGTTGTTCAAGATTTTCTGTGCAGGAAGAGAAAAAAAGAGATGTAGGGATGTAGGGATTAGCCACAATTTAACGCTTATCTCTTTACCCTGACAAAAATATTCCAATATGCTGAAATTTACTGCATATTCATTTCGTTTGTCACAGACTCCACATTGATGTAGTTAGAATTTAGATTTAGGAAAATACCACAAAACCCACTCCCATTTTCCGAATATTTGTGAGAAGCCACATTTATACATCCTCCATTAATTATCACAATGACATCTGTCCACACCATTGTAACAACAATGAAAACCATGAGGGTTGTCCCAGAAATAAGAAAATGGCTATAAAATTGTTATTATTTTATTGTTGAGATACAACTGACAGAGTTGATTGGCTAAACATTTATTCTTTTCATCAACGTAGTCTCCATAAACAATCGAATATTTCTGTCATCACTGCATGAGCAAATGCATGCCATCCTTGTAAAATTTTACGTCAATGTAAGCCAACCCTATTGTGCTCCACAAGGTCTGTGTCATTATTGACTTTCTCCCTGGCCAGATATCGCTGCATTGGTCCAAACAAATGGAAGGAAGTCGGAAGGAGCAAGTACAAGATCAAGACTGTGATCCAAAAAGCTTTCATTTGGTTCTTGGAAGTCACTAGCAGACCAAGTTTCCATTGCTCATGCGCATCTTGCTTGCATCAGTCCAACAATACCCTGCAAACATTGATGTGCTGTGCCTTGTGGTCACCTGTCAACTGTTTAGGAGCCCACTGAGCAGACACTTTTCTGAATTCAACCTCACTAAAGACAGCTCTGTGAACTGATGACTAAGAAATATCTAGGGCATCAGCTACATCATGAATTTTGAGCCCCCCGTCAACAGGCATGAGTTTTTCCAATGCTTTCAGCATTTTTTTTTGGGTGTTGGTAGACAGATGATGGTATCTAATTTGCTCACATAGATTTCTGAGCCCCTCTACAGATAAACTGCATCAATGATAGACCTTTGATTTGTTCAGAACATACTTACCATACATTCTTTTAAGTTCTGCCTAAATTTCAGTGAAATTTTTACATTGTGCGAGAGAAAACTGAATTACAGCTGTAATTTCTTCTTTTGACCAGGATTATATGGTGGTTGCCATCTTTGTTTTTCATGTAATAAAACGGTTGCCTTCATTTTGTTCACTTTAATGGAGCACCAAAGTTGAGTATTCCCCGAACTACTAAAAACTGTATTCAGAATTGAAAAATATAGGGATAGCATTCAAATACGGCCATTCTTCTGTTATTTCTGGGCTAGCCCTCGTACATACCTTTGGAAAATTAGAATGAGAGTGAAAACCATCAACTTATAGAATGTTCGAATGAAAACCGCATACCTTTGGAAAGTTGGTGAACATGGAGATCATCATCTCTATGGCGGACTCTCGTCCATCCTCCAGCTCGTACTGCAGGTGGTCAATGTAGAAGAACAGATGTCTCTTGAGGTCCTTGCCCAGTGGGTAGTTCATCATATAGAACAACAGCACCTAAGGACACAGAGGGGGGAAAAACGATTGTAAAGGTTGCAGAATGTTTTTATACCCATCACATCATTTATGAGGTGGGGGTGCTTCCACCCTGCCGCTCAAGGCCAATCCTAGCTCTGCGGAATAAAGCATCCTGGCAGACAGATGGAGATATTCAATTAAAAAAAACAACCCAATAACTTCTCTACATGGGAATTGAACTCAGGTCTTTGTGCATGCAACGGCGAGAAGACAAACTATCTTACACCATAGAGATACGGGTAATTTTTCTTTACTTAATACGTGCTCGTTCAAGTAAAGAGAAGAACATCGACCCAATAATGGTTGCATAGTGCAGGGAAAAGCAAGACAGACAGAAACAATGGACGGATAGTAAAGAAGAAGAACCTAGCAGTACCACATTCCAACCACCCACAGCATACGCAAAAAATACAGAACAATATCAAAACTATAACAACAGAGTGCTGCAGCTGCTATAATCTGACATTGTTGCTGTTGTTGATACAGACAATTCAGCACAACAAAAGCAACTAAATGTTTTAACAGCAGCAGATATATTGTAAACCTATAAAAGCTTTTAACCCCCCCCATTAATTAATATAATTAACACATTTTAGATCAAACAGCAGACAAAAGATTACCCTGCGGAAAAAAGCTTTTGGATTTTTCAAACACTTAAAAGAAAAAGCTTTGTTCTTGGCTATTAATGTCTTTTATCCAAGCTCCTGTGTGTTTTTTAAAATAGCATAAAAATAGCATCGTTTTTGTTTTAAAAAATATTTTCAAACTTGTGGTCACCTGTCGACTCTGCAGCCTGAGGCCAGACACCGGAGACACGATGGACATCTCAAATAGTTTCTCCATCACCTGGTGCAGCTGGGGAATGTCCAGCTTCCGGGACAAGATGGCCTGGGACAGATGGACAACAGGGAAACATTAGAGGACAAACACTAAACATAGTGATTAATGAACTAGAGACAACAGACACACTGAAATATAAGCCAACAAATTGTAGATATTGAAAATAGCCCAGAGACAACAGAAACATGATATAAGCCGACAATTGATATAGATACTAAACATAGTGAAAATAAAAGCCTACAAATTGAAGATAGTGAAAACAACCTATAGGCAACAGAAATGTGGAAATATAAAGCCTTTGATTACTAATGGCTGGGAAAATAAACTCACTTATTGAAGATAGTGAAAATAACTAAGAGGCAATGGAGAAAGAGAGAGAGAGAGAGAGAGAGAGAGAGAGAGAGAGAGAGAGAGAGAGAGAGAGAGAGA